TGACGCCTCCCCCCCTTTAAAAGGGGGGCCGCGTGCAGGCAGGTGCAACGAAGCAAGGCGCAGGCGAGTGTGGTGCGAGGGCGAGGGAGGGGGGCTGGGATCTGGGCAGAGCGAGCGCGCACCGGAGCACCCAAACCCCCACAATCCTGGTGTGGGGGTGGCATGCGTGCGCACGTTGTCTTGCAGATCGCCCTTCTACTCCTCCTTCTCTGTCTGCTCCTCGTCCTCCTTCGTCCCCGTCCTCCTCCCTCCTCGACTCCTCCTGTATCCTCTTGCGTTCTCGCAGACTCTGGCAAACTGCCCCCCTGAAGATGAGCCCGACACCACGTCCATTGGGGCTCTTGCAAAGCAAGTCAGAGCATCCCTGAGCAGTGCGGAGCAATAGAAAGCTGGGCGTGGCAGTGCTTGGCGTTGCATGGCATTGCTTGGCCCTGCTTGGCATTGCTTAGCAGTGTATGGTTTTGCTTGGCATAGGCGTGTCAGTGCTTAGTAGTGGTTGGCATTGCTTGGCGTTGCGTGGCATCGCTTGGCAGTGTTTGGCATTGCACTACGTTGCTTTGAATATCTTGGCATTGGCTGCGCATTGACTTGCATTCCTTGGCGTTGCGTGGCACTGCTTGGCATTGCGCTGCATTGCTTTGATTTGCGTCTGATTGCGTTGCATTTGCTGCGTTGGGTGACATTGCTTGGCATTGGTTTGCTTTGCTTGGAGTTGTTTGACATGGTTGGGCATGGCGTTGAATTGCGTTGCATCGCTTGGCATCCCTTGGCGCAGCTTGGCAGGTCTTGGCGGTGCTTGACATTCCCTGGTACTCCTTTTCCAATGTAATCCCAAGCAATGCCAAGTGACCCAACAACCTGAGGAACGCCAGGGGCCGCATGCCACATGTCAAGCATCGCCGAGCGACCCCGAAGAACGAAGAATGCTGAGCCCCGCCTCTGACGAGGGATGACCCACACACCGGCTTGGGTCACAAACACTTTCCCCGAGCAATGCGTGCACTTGGGGGTTCAAACTTAGGTTGCTAAGGAATTAGATGGGTCCGCCAAATTTCGCCGCGTTGCATCCCGTTGCCGCCTCGTTGACGCCCGCGGCGCGTTTGGGGTCCACCCAAGTTTCGCCACGTTGCTGCCCGCTGCCGTTGCCGCCTGTGGTCGCGGTCCGTTGCCAACCCGCTTCCGAATCGTTGCCGCCTCGTGCGCTGTGTGGGTGCGCCGAAGATTCGCCAATGAGCCTCCCAGTGCCGCCTTTGAGGGTAAGCCGAGGATTCGCCACATTGCCGCCTGCTACTGCCTCGATGCCGCTACACCACACGGCTCACATTTCGATTGCGAATTAATCATGGCCTGGGATGCAAGCGGGAAAACATACATACCCCTTAAGCATAGCCTAGCTGAGGATGGTGGGGATCACGGCCAGACTCGAGGTGCATAAAAACGCATACATTCGAAACCAGGAACTGATTCCCATCTAGTGCTTTACGAGAGGCCCTGGAGGAGGGGCGAACCGACCGAACAGAGCAAAGCGAAATGAACGTGCCGAACTGACCAGACCCGAACTGGGCAAACCGAACCAGAGCACGTTCTGAACCAGGCGGTCCGAACCAGTCTGGCCGAAGCTAGTCAGCCGGGCCCCGAACACACCCGAACCGAACTGCAGCTGGTTTGCCTGGCCCGATGCGGGCGCCAATTAGGGCGTTGAGAGGGAGGCGAAACCGAAAACCAGAAACTCAACAGCTCCAGGTTCTTGACTCTTGGAACCCAGATCTTCCCCCCCATCTCTACTCCTCTTTGCTCCGACCCCCTCCCTGACTCCTCGGAGCCGCGGTCAGCCAAGAGGGAATTGGGCAGACGGGGCCCGCAACTGGCAAACTGCAGTACCCGCATGCAGGGGAATTGCCAACCGCACGATCCCCGACCCTTGCCAGGCTCATCCTGGTCCCTCGGTGAGTACATGAACACTCGTGGCTGGGCAATGGCGTTCCGTACTCCAACCCTTGACACAGCCAGGTGTCAATGCCGGCGCTGCAGGTGCCACTTTTTCTGCTGCCCTGTCAAAAGATGCACAGTCGACGGGGCACTAGAAATAAACAGTGCTTGCGCAGGCCTCTGACTGCAGGAGGACGCCAATGATGCGAATATCGGCGTCGCTTCGTGTAATAATAACTACCCGAGACAACTATGTAATTATGATTTTGGCGCGGCGGTTCGAACAAAACCTTCTGGATACATGTTGTTCGGTCACACCGGTGTAACCGCAGGTTACGAGCAATGTCCGCAACAAGCTATCCGCCAGCGTACCTGCACGATGTGAGCGTGTTAGACTGCCAGGTGCTGCTCCGCTGGTATTCTGCAAAAGAGATCCCCAATTTCACAGAGTGGTGCGTGCAATCCCCCCCTGCCGACGCCACGATCCCTCGTATAAAACAATGATTCCACGACCCCGGGGCCACGACCCCTCGTGAGAACTAAACGATGGATCCGCGCCGCGTCCCGAGCTCCAAAAGCGGCCCATGCAGACAACCAAGGACACCACAATGGCCCAAGATGCCTCGAAGACGTGCCCAAATGGCCCCAACGGGGCCGATTCATGCCTCAAGACGGCCCATGATGCCTCCAAGAGTTGAGATCTTTCCATTACCACTAAGCCATCAGATCTGTCCAAATCCTGAATCATGTTTTTTTGGGGTTTTTTTTCGAACAGCTTTTTTTTATTTTTCGAACAAGTTCTGTTTCGTGCCATAGCGGGTCCGATGCATTTTCTGGGCGAACCTATCGCAGGAAACGGGTTGCGCCAGTGTCAAGAAATACTCGCATCGTCTCCGCGACCACCAATGTTGGCAGACGCGTTGCCGACATGAATCGCAGAGCGCGGGTTTCGGCGTAGACTCGGGAAAGCGCAGCAGAGCCACACGCCCCGAGCCCGCCATGCTGGCAGGGCCCGCGTGCACGATGGCACGCCGTTCGTTGGCAGGGCGGCCGAACGCCAAGTCGTTCGTTGGAACGTAGAATTCGAGCGCATGGTGGCGCCTGCATCTTGCGCGTCACTGGCTCCGCTACCAAAGGAAACCCTTCGCGCATTCATATGCTGTTCCCCATTGAGTGTGGGGCAGCGCTGCCCACGAGAACGGGCGCGAGTTGGCAATGCCAAGCACGCTACAAGTATACGGGTCAAGCCAAAATGGCGACGGGAGAACACAAGAGAGAGTATCACGAGGAGGTGCAGCAGGAACAGGAAGCGGAAAGGGGGGTGGAGGGGGAGGACCGAGGAGGGTTTTTTTGGGGGGTGCGGCGATGGAGGGCGGCGAGGGCGAGGCGAGGTGGAGGACGAGAACGACGAAGCATCCGAGCCGAAGGAAACGCATACAAGGCATGTGCGAGGTCGAGGAGGAGGGACAAGAGGACGAGGAGGAAGAGGAGGGAGGGGACACGCACATAGAGGACGAGGAACCGATATTTGACGATGCTTCCGACCAACAGAGATGCACCGACGAAACAACGGAGGATGAGGAAGCGGAGGAGGATGAGGACTAACCAGACGAGTATACATCAGAGGTTTTGGAACTGCGATTGGCACAATTCGAACACGTCGCAACCATGAGGGTGCTCGTGGAATGATGGGTGCAGGGTGCGCCCCTGTCTTCGGGAATCCCCCCGATGGAATTTCTGCCCTTCCCTCCCCCGTGCCCGCTAGCGCGTGCGGAGGGGGGGCCTTTGGGGGGCGGGAGGTGGGGAGGAGTGCGTGGCGCGGCCCTCAGGACAAACACTAGAACATGACATAATCCCCCACGGGGGGAGACGAGAAATCGTTCTGGGAGCCCGTGAAGCTGAGAAACGTCATGGGCCACATCAAGTTCGGTTTGAGTTTTGTCCTTGACCCGATCCGCCCTAGAGCGGCGGCAAGGCCCCCGTAGTTGCCTAAAGTGTGAGCGTTCGCCCTACCGCACGCCCTGCCCGTTGCAGAGTGTCGTGGGTTTCTAGGGGGGGGGGGTGCGGCCTAACTCGTTGGAACCAAAGCCCCCCTCCCTTTTCACCCACACCCTTGCGAGGGGGAGGGGCGGGGAGGGAAACTGAGGAAGGGGACGGGCGGAACGAGGGGCATGGAAGGAAATATCTCCCACCCGCTCTATGGCGCCATCGGCCACGGCACCTTGCGAGGCCCCATGCGCGGGCCGCGCGAAACCAACAGACGAGAAAATCGAAGCAAACCCGCATCGTTTGTTTGATCTCGGGCATCGTTCGAGCTCCTGGCGCGGCGGTGAGGCGACGCCCCACCCTCGCGACGAAGGGAGGGAATGCGGGGGAGGTAGGGAGAGGAGGGCAAGGGAGGCAGGGAGGGGAGGAGGGGTGGACAGAAAGAAGGGGTTGAGCGGAGGGAGCGAGGGAGAGGAAAGGAGGGAGGAGAAAAAAGAAAGTGGAGAGGATAGGATCAAGGATGGTGGCGATCGACGGCCTCCCCGCCCGCATCACGGACGCCACCTCCAAGCGAGCTGGCGGGGTCTGGGCGCCGCCGCCGTCGTTTCCAAGAGGCCTCCAAGAGGGACTCTAAGAGACTTGGGAGGGGCTGGGGTCGGCACGTGCTTTGCTTATGTATAATAAGTTGAAGCCCCCCCCCCCCCCCCCCCCCCCACACATGCCTCCCCGAGGAGGCGCGGGCTGCTAGATTCTGACCCCCCACCATCCCCCACAACGGCGTCGAACCCCCCTCTCTCTCACGAGGCATTGGTCACGAGGGGATACGTGGTGCATGCAATAGTATAGCATAGCATGGCTCAGAATAGCGTGACAACGCTGCAGCACGGTATAGCATTGCACAGCATCGCGTAGTCAAGGCCTTCGGCCGCAGTTCAACAGCATAGCATAGCAATGCGTATCATTCCCTCCTTTCCTCCCTCCTCCATCTGCCCCCCCTGCTGCTGCCTGTGTTTCCACTGAGCGCTGACGGCGCTCACTCTCCGAACATCCGCTGGCCTCCCGAGCGGCCTTGCGGGCACGACACACTACATCGACAAATCGATGCCCTTCTGCACATACACCTTGATCACGTGATGCACGTGGTCCCACACGGCGACGGGGGAAGCCTTCTTGGCGTGCTGCTTCTGGGAGGCCATCGTCCGTTGGAGCTCGTCCTCGTCCTTATGGTGCTTTTTCAACATGCCGAGGATGCACGCCTCGCGCTGCGTGACATAGGATTTGAGCACAGCTTTCTCGTGATCATCCTCGAATGCACTGGAGACCTCTGTGAGGTTGTATTTGGCCTTCGTTGTTCTGGCGGCTTGCAAGAGATCGAAGTATTTCTTGCGCTCCGCCAGCCCTCTGGGCGTAGGTGGTCGAAGGAGCGCATCCTTCCCCAGCCTCTAACCCTCTGCCCTTGCGGGAGGGGTAACCTCCACCCACCCCCTCAATGAGGTGTTTGCGTTTCGTTTTTTTTGGGGGTGGCTATCGGGTCGCCAGTGCTGCCAAGGTGTCCCTAGATGGCTCCAGGGGGGCACCCAGTGCTCCAGGATGGCACCCAACATATCCCAAGCTTTCCGACGGCGGCTCAAGATGATTCCCACCGTGTTCCAAGAGGCCTCAGAGACAGCTCCAAGACGGTCCAGTATCATCAGATACCTCTGAGCTCCCCGTGGAGGCCATCAAAGATAACACGCACACACACAACCGTCCTCCAAGGCATCCTCGAACCCAGAGGGGGAACGCGAAGCGTGCCAACAATCAAAGCCGTCCAAACACCCAAGAATCTAGGTCCTCCCTCGATGGCCCTCCAGAGGCCCTCCAGGCACCAAACAGTAAAAGCCCTCTCAAGCACCCAAGAATCCAAGACGACCCCCCCCCCAGGGATCCTCCAGGCACTCCGTTTCGGAAAAGCTCTAGTGGGGAAGCGCGAAGCGTGACGAATTGGTCCTGAAGATGCTCGGGTTGTGCTTCATGATGGTCTTCGCGGCAACCTTGAACAGGCTGTCGAAGTCGGGCACATCGGCCAGCTTGTTGAGCTCGAGGTGCCAGTCGCTGCCGTCGAACGTTCCCCCGAGGATGGCTTCGAACTTCACGGGCGGGCACGCCATCGGCTCGAAGGGCAGCTCGATGAAGTCAGTGATCTTCTGGCGGTCTCGCTTGAGCAGCTCGGCCCCGTCTGTCGCGATGGCGGTCTGCACCTGCTGCAAGAGGCCGTTCGCGCCAGAGCGCGCTGGCAAGACGTTGGAGCTGCACAGCTCCTCGAGCTTGTTGCAAGAAGAGGTGAGCGTGTCAAGCAGTCTGATCCCGTCAGGCGAGTCCAATCGCCCTTCCCCCATCGCTGTGTACTTCACGACGTCGCTATTGATACCACTGATTGTCCTCATGCGCTCGACCTCCTTGTTCCACAGGTCTCGTTTCTGAGAACAGCTCAAAGTACTGATAAGCTTGCCGAACACAGGCAAGAAGTTCGTGCACTCGTCACTTGCGTATCCAGATGGCTGGTCCAACACCTTTTCGAAGAGCAAGCCCATGATCTCGATGGAACGATCGCCAATCTCCGTAGGTATCTCGTCGTCGACGTTAGTCTCACGGAGAAACCCGTGGAGGTGGTCTAGCACGGAGTGGCGACTCTCTTGCGACGTAAAGTCGGCGATGGACAATTGGACAAGGTATGGCAAGAATTGCTTCAGAGTCAAAGCTCCTTGGATCTTGGGGACGGCCTCGGACACCCTCTCCAGTATCTTGATGGACTCCGCAGACATGGTCACTGCCGCGGTCCTGGAGGCAACTTCAAAGTACGTCTTCGCGGCCAGGAGGAGCTCCAGCTGGGTCTTGTGGTCAGCATCTTTGCTCGACATGGTGTTAATGACGTCATCTGCAGCCTCGCCCAGCTTGGTCGCAAAGTCGTCGAGCGCCTGCATCAGCGCGCTCGTAGTGCCCTCCCTGGTCTTCGCCTTCAGCGACGCAATGTCGGCTAGAGCCTTACTTGCATCGTCCACCCGCTCGGGCCAGGTAGCACCTGCATTGCTCACCTTCGTGCAATACTCGTCCACCGTCGCCTTGGCTGTCGAGTGGGTAGCTTTCGTTTGCCGTATGTCCAAGATCGCCGGCTTGAAGAACTCCGATTCTTGGCTCAAGATCCCCATGGTAAAAACTATGATGCCTTTCCAGTCCGCTTTGCCAGGGGTGGAAGCTGGAGGCGTGTAGTCGTGAACTAAGGTGAACTCCTTTTCGTATTTGGCGTGCTCCACGTTGTCTACTAAGTACAGGATTGCACGGCACATTTTGACCCCAGCGTTGCACGACAAACGCACAGGCTTGCTGATACCCTCAGGCTGCTGGAGGAGAAGCTGCATGATCTCAACGACAATCCCCTTGAACCCCTTGGATGTCATCACCGACCATTGTTTCAGCAGGGGGCTCAGCACGTACGAACACAAACAGCGCTCGAAAGACTCAGCAAGCAGTTCCGGTAGGACTGGTATGTCGCAGCCTCGGGGGTTGAAAGGGTCCCACTCTTTCCGCCCTCGCTCATCAACTGCCAACGTGTCCTGGTCGACGGGCTCAGCCGCAAGCTCATCGATGTCGTAGGGGAAGAATGCGGCGCAGACAGTGCGAGTGTCCAAGGTGCCCTTCAAGAGAGGCTGCATCATGTCGGAGACGTGCCTGTCGGTAATCTCTCGAGCCAAGGCCGACGGAAACACCATGTTCGTGCTGACCAATGTCTTCACCCTGTCCTGGAAGACGGTCTTGTCGAGGCTGTGCAAGGAGCCTCGCTGGACGAGCTTCTGTGCCAAGTCGGCTGCTTCGAGCCGCTCGCTGAACTTCGTGGCTGCCTCTCGTTGCTGAGGGTCATCGCTGCTCGACCACTCGTCCCGCAGCTTCTTCATCCGAGCTCGCGCATGCATGCAAGACACTCCATCTAGACCAGCTCCGCACACTGTAAGGTTCACGCTGTCGATCCGCATCTGGACCCAATCTGGGAAAGGCATCTGGTCCTTCCTGGCACTGAACGCAGATCGCCTGTCATCTCCATCGTTGTCATCATCGTCTTCTTCATTGGAGCACGGCTTCACGGTGGGGATCCAATATTCACGCCGACCTTGGGTCCAGAAAAATCCTGGCAACTCGGTCTCGCTGGTGGGCTCCCGCCGCGCCTCACCCTCCTCGGCAGGCATCGTGTTCCCGTCGCCGTCCTCGTTGCCGCCCTCAGCCTCGGTCATATCTGCGGCCTCCTGCATCTTCCTGTTCTGCTCCTCTGCGTGCCTCTCCGCCTCCCTGATGCTCTCTACGCCTTGGCGGACCTCATCGAAGCCGACGCCACCGAGCCTGAGCTTCTTGTACTCTGGCATCTCCCCGAGCCCGTGGGAGATGAGAAAATCGAAATACTGATCGGTCTGCTCCTCTCGGAGCTGGCCCTCCCACCTTCGCTGGCGCAAACGCCAGAATGATGAGGTTTGTCGAACAGACTGACTGTGTCCCTGGGTGTGCGGTTGAAGAGGGGATCCGCGGTGACCGTTCTCGGATCTCGGGGCCTTCTTGGGCCCCTCCTCGGACACTCGTGGAGACGCCATTGGGCCCTCTTGGGGCCAAGGGCCTAAGAGGGCTCCAAGACGGCTTCAATATAGCCCCAAGAGGGGCCCAAGAAAGCCCCACGATCGGTCACGCGAGCGCTCTGTCGCGTGACCGATCTTGCCCCCCCCCCCTTGGAACTGGCCTGGGGCCCTCTCGGAGCCTCTCGGGGCCCCTCGGAGCTCGCCTCATAGCCGCGGGTGGGGCCCCAGAGGACCTCAAGAAGTCCCAGAGGGCTGACCATCAGTTCCAAATAATGTTCCAACATTTGTCAGGCTATTGCCCCAGCACGGCTCCAAGATGGCTCCACGATCGGCCGCACGATGGCTCCTACAGGCCCCAGCGCTGCTCCAAGCGGGCCCCAACAGGGCTCCAAGAGGCCCCCCCCCAGCTAGCTCCAAGAGGGCCCTTGCACAGCCCTAAGAGAGGATATAGTCCCAACGCAGCTCCGCGCCCGCCCGCCCGAACACTCACTCGCATCTGCAACCGAGGGGCGCTACAGAAGCACAAACCAAAGATGTGAGGGATGTCTTAGAACACATGAAAGCATGATTATTTGTTTTTTTCCCACAACGTCTGCTTACGAATATTGTAGACCGACCACCTCTGCTTGAACTCCTCCCAAGTCGTGCTCTCCTCCATCCCGTACTCGTAGAGGACCCCGATCCCAGCGAGCCGTGGCTCATCATTGACAAGCACGCCCTTGAAGTAATTCTTGAGGTGGTCGGGATGGCGTAGATCCTGAATCGGCCTGCCCGTCTCCTTGGGCTCCCTGCCATCGGATACGTGCTTCTTGTACTCGTCCACGGTGAGGCCCCTCTTGCGCAACGTCGTTCTGCAGAAGGCCCTGGCCGCGATGGACACATTCGCAGCGAAGAATGGCTTGACGGAACCTGGGGCCATCTCTCTCGATTTCTCGAGCACGGCCACGGCATTGGAGAAAGACTCGTCGAACGTCTTCTCGGAGTTGGCTTTCGTCAGGACCTCCTCCACCGTGCCTTCATGCCCAAATGAATCCAAGGCCGTCGTCGCACACCTCTCGCATGCTGGCCCAGTAGCTGTGTAGTGGGGTTCGCCCTTCTTCACGACGACCTCGTGTTTGCCCCATGGTTCATCAGATGCATGTTTTTTGGCGCAAGACTTCCTCATGCAGATGAGCGGCCCCTGACTCTTCTTCTCTTTCTCCTTGTTGATGAAAGACAAGAGCCGAAATCGACTGGTGAGCCTGCCAGGCACTCTCGCCGCCTTGCTCCTCGGGCCATCCTTGTCTGGGGTGTCCTGGGCGCCCTGGCTTGGCGATGCCGCCGTGAGCAAAGTCTGGCGCCCACTACCACCTGCCGCGGACAAGCCAGCCTTCGACCCCGCTGATGATGCCGGAGGCCGCGTTCTCGGCACCTTCGTCAGGGACGATTGTTTCTTGCGATCTGCCATTGCCGTCGGTGAGGCCAGCTCCAGCCACAGCCAGGCGCCAAACGAGCAACCATATACAGTGGCCGAAAAAAGAGAGAAGCAGCAAACCGCTTGAACCCAGATCAGCACGATACTGCTCAACTCGGTCAGCCAAGATTGTGGGCCATCAATGTCTGGAGCTCGCTGTTCAAAGAAACGAGTGCATCGCAAGCAATCGCCAAACGGAGGAACCGTTCAGGAAATCCACTGCTCAAGGAACGTACTGTGTGCAAGGAAACGCTAGCCAACGATATGTTCAATCCACTCACTGCTCGGGGAACGGGCTGCCTCGAGAAATCCACTGTTCAGGGTCGTCGGGCAATCCACTGTTCAGGGTCGTCGAGCAATCCACTGTTCAGGGTCGTCGAGCAATCCACTGTTCAGGGTCGTCGAGCAATCCACTGTTCGGGGCCGTCAAGAAATTCACCATTCAGGGTCGTCAGGAAATCCACTGCTCAGGGAACATACTGTTCAAGGAAACGCTAGCCAACAAGATGCTCAAGAAATCCACTGCTCAGGGGAACGGGTGGCCTCAAGAAATTCACTGTTCAGGGTCGTCAAGAAAGTCACTGTTCAGGGTCGCCAGGAAATTCCGTGTCATGACTGGTATGGTATGGTATGTTATGGTATCATATTTTATGGTATGATATGTTATGGTAAGTTATGTTATGGCATGGTATTGTATGCTATGGTATGCTGTGTATGCTATGGCATGATATGGTGTGGTATGGTATGCTATGGTATCCTATGGCATGGTATGTTATGGTATGATTTGCGGCTTGGGCCAGCATGCCATGGTATGCTATGGGACCCGTAAAGATGCTATGCGTTGCGTTGTGAAACAAGGCGTAGTCGAGAAGACGATGCAGGGATACGGGGGGGTGAGGAAGATGAAACAGCGGGTGGCGAAAACGAAGTCACGCGCATGGGCGCGATGACTGGGGCCCCGAGGGTCTCTCTCCACCAGGGCTGAACGACTGACAAAGGTTATGCTCAGCCATCCTCCCTCCCTCCTCCTCCCTTCTCCTCCTCCTCCTCCTCCTCCTCCTCCATCCTCCCTCCTCGTTCCTCCTCCTCCTCCTCGCCCCTCCGCCTCCCCCTACTCCTCCACCTCCTCCTCGCCGTCTTCCCACTTCTGTCCAAGCGGACTGCTGGTAGCCACCTCATCGCGGTGGCGATGCCCTGGTTTGCATTTTGTTGGTACTAACCCCGTGTACCGTCCCTCATTGTTAGAGTTGGCCGAGTAGGCCAGATACACTGCCGTGGCACGTGCGCGCAGAGCGGACGCAGCCGACCAACTGAAAACAACGACCAGAGAGTGCACAACTTAGCTGTAAACGATGGTTCAAAACTCTCCTGCTGCGGGCTCGCCTCAAAGGCCCGCGCACTTGCCGAACTAGTCGGACGAAGAAGGCTCACAAATCGCAGGCGCCGAGCCCGAGGAACGGCCTGAATCCGACGAGGCAGGACCTGCGCTCCCCGAGGAGGCCTGGTCCTGAACTGCCGCGTCCTCCGTTGCCGCGCCTACTCGGTCGGCCAGGGGCAGCCTGACGCAGCCCTGGATGTCCTCGACCTGGTAGCCGTCGGTGTCGGGGAGCTCGATGACCTTCTGGCTGTGGTCGCGGATCTGCTGCGTGCGGAGGATGAACGACTTCTTCACGTGGACCTTGACCGCCTGGATCGTCAGGTTGTCCGAGTGGGTCACGTTCTTCTTGGCGTATGTGCTCTTGAAGCGCTCGTCGTACTGGTAGTCAGCACTCTTCCAACTACGGTCGTAGACCTTCCTCTCCATCACGAACTGGCACACGTTCGTGAGGTTGAAGACTCCGTGCTGCTCGAGGTTCTGCGCGATCTCGTCGGTGAGCCATTTCAAGACGTCCTTGGCCTTGTTGCGTGTGATGCCAGTGTCCAGGGCCAGCTTGCGGTACAAGGGTAAGGGGGGGGGGGTCGTCCGTCGGACTCTCGGCGGCGCACCCGCTCCAGGCGCCGCTCCTGGAGACGCAGGACCATCGGCGCCTGAGCTGCTTGCACTGGGGTCGGCCAACTCCTCGATCGAGTCGGGGTTCCTGTCAGGGCTCTCCGCGTCGTCCACGTCGCCACCCATTGCAACGTCGCGAGGCTGAGGGTCGTGCTGAAGCTGAGTGTCGTGCTGCGTGTCGGCCTGGTCAGCCATCGCTGCTCGCTCTGATGGGCGGCCCAAAGGAGCGATGGAAATGCAATGTCGGATCACACCGCCTTGGGCCTCAATAGTAGCTCTAAAAGTACGGCGTCGTTTGTTGTTGTTGTTGTTGTTGTTGTTGTTGTTGTTGTTGTTGCCGTCGTCGGCGTCGTTCGCAGTTTGTCGTTCGTCGTCGGTGTCGTCGTTCGTCGTTGATTTCGTCAGCAATCGCCATCCTTCGTCGTTGTTTGCCGTGGTTCGTAAACCACTCGGCCTGGCAACCGAGAGTCGAGTTTTCGTGACCAGACTGTAAATGTGTCGACCCCTCCTACGTGCCTAACCGATGCCTGGTTGTTGGATAGTTGCACGTATTATGTTCAGCGAAGGTGTTTGTAGACAGAACACTGACACACGCAAAGCCAGCATGCCATTACCTTCATCACAAAGCCTCGGCCCCCTGTGGCCCCCTTGGCGCGTGAAGCCTCCAATCCTGGACACGCCCATTTCTGAGCGCACGGCATAGCTTGCTCCGCCGTAGAGTGCACCACATAGGTCGCACCACCTAGACCGCCCCACATAGCTCGCACCTGCGTGGGTTCCACCACATGGCTTACACCACATAGCACGCACCAACTAGAGCCCATTGCAAGCAGCACTCGCAATCGTGACCTCCGATGTTGTACCCGATGTTTTCGCCGCAGCGGCAACGCCGACGACAGGCGAACAGTGCGCGGTATCGAAAATGGTCGGCATCGTCATCGTGCCGTCGCCGCTGTCGTTGTCGTAAACTTGCCTTGTGACTCCCTATATGGTTGACGCTTCGCGTGCCCACATCACCCATCCAGAGGTGCCTCGGCGAATCGTGCCGAACAGGGAGCGGCAGAAGCTTACAGAATAGCAGCATGCAACGCAAAGTATAACCGAACGAGGCCCAAGGGAGTGCCCAAACTTGCCGAATGGGAGTTCCAAGCGGGGACCACTGGAGGTTTCCAAGACGGCCCTATAAGGTGCACAGGGGCATCCCAAGAGGGCCCCAACCGAAGAATATCAGGAATCCCCAGAAGCAGAGTTGCTGCAACATTCCGAAGCCCCGCGCGCCCGCACCAGCCAATCCAGAGAGCATGCCTGGGCGAGTGCCTTGATCAAGGGGCGCGTGGTAGCATGTGTTGTAGA